AAGTACGGCCGTGAGTATGGTGCGACATCTAAACAAAACTACCTAAACATTCTTGTGAGCTATAAACAGGATTCTTGGAATCGAATGCGTAATGTCATCAGGGGGCAAATCTTGGAGTTAATCTGAAGAATTAAAGGAGCTGTAATATTAGCCTAAAGAAGGAGACAGCAGGAATATAAGAGAATATGAGCGCTTGGTCGGATTACCACGTTACCTTTGAGACTCAAGATGGCTAAGTTTGATATACGCTTTTGTTCTGCATTTTCAGAACTGACAGTTCATGCTGACCGCGTGCGCGGAGTCGGGCCCACTTCCCCATCAGCGCGTTCCTCATTTTCACTTTCTTAGTAGAGAACGACGCCATAAGGGAGTCACAACATTAGGCCTGGCCTCGCCCCAGCGATCAGCCTGGAGTGTGTCTCTGATTGTAAGCATAGAATCCGTATTGCCTTACCTTCCTTTTCTTTCCTTTGTACAACTGGTTTAGACTTCGGCATTCTTCCCAATCCTTCAGGTTCTGAAGGCTCCGTTGGAGTGAATATGGGTTCCTTCTTAGGCTTTGGCGCTTTTTCTGAGGGCGTTGAAGACAGGACAGACTCCTTATCACCGGATGGCCTGAGTGAAATCTTTCAGAACAACAGTCAATGCAACAATTAGTTGAAAGTGATCTGATGTAGCACAGGTACACGGTTCAAGCGCTTGGCTACCCTTTAAGGGATAGATGACGTATCACTGGCGTCACTATCACGTTAACGACGTGTATTCATACGTCACTGAGAATGATTCAGAACAGGTTTTCTTCTCAGTAACGTATTAGATTAGCTGACTTACACTACCTCGCTACACCTGCATCGAAGATACTCCGAATTATACTACAGTACGCCAAACTTATAAATTTTCAGGAAAATTTTGAAAAACTGTACATCTGAACAACCTACCGTACTTTTTCCTCGGAGGCTTTTCTTTTTTGGCTGGGAGGGTATGGAGGAGTTGTTCCTGTCGTGCCCTAAATGGCATGTCATGACCGCGAGCACGATTTTTTGGATGCGGCATGAGGCCTATTTCAGCCTTACTGTGGGAATTGTTCAATCTTCTTTGAAATGCAGCTTTTCCCAATGTTCAAGCCAGGTTTCCCACCTAGTCGGATTAGCCAATGAGCCCAAGACATGTTCGAGAGCATAAAACACGAACTTGACATCGACCCATCCAAGCAAGTCGCATTGCAAGCTGCTCCTCCTCATGCCCCTACGATTCAACGGGGGGTTGAACGCGCGGTGCACCCTAGAGAGAGGGATGGACCAAACTGAACGCTCTACCCTCTCGTCCGCAAAGACAAGCTCCATGGTCACCGCATGGGCGGAGAAATAGGTGCAGGAGCTCATGAACATCATACACCCCTCATTATTGAGGCTCTGCTTGTAGTAGCACCAGTTTGAGTCTTCGCCCATACGCCTGAAGCGAAATGTACATTTGTTGTTTAGGTTACTGGCAAGTAACCATAAGTAGTTCATTAATTCTGTCAATCAAACTCACATTAGGAACACTTGCCAGAAATCATGAGCTGGTGTTGGATACCAAGGTTTTGCAAGGAACTAAGAGGTACTGTCAAAACTGGGAGGGGGAAGGACGGGGGGAATGGGGCTTTAAAAATTGTCCAGTAGCTTCTCCTTCGCTTGACCTCATAAAATGACTTCGTTACAGTGCTGTATTAGAAAGTAATGGACAGGATTGTTCACTTTTGGGAACATAAGATTTTGTTCTTTAAATGTGAGCTCTCGTGGGGAAAAAGCTACAGTAGTGGAGAAAATAAGTTTTTTGTCTCAATCGGCACTTTTCTGCTAATCTTTTCTGCTACCTCCAGTCCGAGCGGAAGTGGTTTGGTTTGACCCTTACAGTGGCTTACGAGGCTCAACAAATGTATCAGTCTGTGATATCAAAACTCGGGAAACCGTGCTTGAGGGGACTGGGGGAAATTCAAGCTCAGATCTGATCCCAGGACGGGTAGCAGAACAAGTTACGCCACCCACCATTACACCACCGTTACAACGGTCATCGCATTACCGCTTATTGAGCTAAAAACTCGAAAGGATCAGTACCGAACTTACGCCACTGTTATCGCCTGTAGTTCCTTGACTCTGGGAACTGCCCATAACACTTGTTACCTGGGAAACTGGTCCCGCTGAAGTTGACGGACCGATCA